TGCTTATTCTTATTAGGAATACTTGTTTTGTGAAAAGAAATTGTAATATTAATCAAGCGTTTTTGATGAAATAGATGCTAGGGAAGCATATTTCGAATATAAAAATGAATTATATTTAGCTTAAATTTAATTACAAGATAAATTGTATAATATGAATTTGCTTTTATAATGACTTTGGTAACAGACCTCATTACGAAACGCAGTAAACGTAATAATTCAAATTCATTTAATTAAGTGCTATACTTATTTTGAATAATTAATGTTAAGTTATATAGCATATTATTAGATATACATTTTCTATATAAACATTGTAAATGTTAAATTGTCAAATTTTATATTTTAAAAAATTTCAGACTTATTCTCTCACTAGAACAATGGAGAATGGTGAAGATATTTTATCAGTAAATAGTTACAAAAGAAGGATCTTAACTAAAATTTTTACTCATAAATCATCGAGTTTGTACAACAAATATATAGATTTTTTTTTTATGAGGCTCGCATTACAATTACTCAAACGATTTAAGGAAAGGAATTAGGATTTAAAGGAAAGGAAGATTTGTAAAATGCGTATTTTAAAATATTAGAATCGCACGTGTCAAAATGGAAACGTTTAATATTTATCAGCTTACACAGTCACCGTTACTTTATTAAAGACAAACGATTGCATTGGGAAAGTAAATCCTATGCGATCCTTGTTACGTATGTCACACCTTTTTGACTTTCTCTACTACACGTAATGTGTCGCAAAGCGCATCTCGCGCGCGAGACGAAGCGCCTTGTGGGTTTGGCCGCGTGGACGCCGGGACGAGGGAAAAAGAAACACGGGGGAAAAGAGCGTACATGGGGTCTTTGCAATTCTGATCGTTTGCAGTTTACGGGGACTTAATTTGCCCGGGGCGCGTTCGTGGGCGCGCGGACGTGGCGTTCCGCCCCGTGACGGAAACGCGCTCGGGAATCGCGTTGGAATTATACACCGGGATGGCCGGCGTTGCCCAGTTCGCACAGATACCGCAAAACTCATTGGCAAAGCCGTCGGAACGGCTTTCGCAAATCGCGTCGATCGTATTTAACGAAAATGGTTTTACTCGCGTCGATTGCACCGTTTAATACTCCCGCGCGGAAAATATCATGGTGGGTTTTACTTTTCAACGATATTCCCAGGATAATCTTTCCGTACGGTTAAATCGACGTAATTTTATTGCAATCAAATCTGTTTGCAGCGGCCGGAAAAATCAATGTTATTCTTTTTTTTTTTTTTTTTTCTAAATGTGAAATCAGCAGGAACACGTAACTTCCCCCAATTTTTGATCAACGTTCGTGTAATCAGATTTTTTAAACCGACTAAAACATTGTTGGAACACTGGTTAATCGTAATCGATATTTTTCGACCATCAGTAACAAATAATTGATATTAATGTAAACTGTTATTTTTTTATGTAAATATAAATGTTAATTAAATACTTGTTAAATTATTGTGATTGTTTACCATTCATTTATGACTTATTCACTTGTTATATGATTATTCTATTGATATTTTCAACAAACACAAATTTGTAATTACTAGAATTGAAAATTGATTATATTAACATTATTTTGAATAATAATAGGTAATAGAACAAGAGACAAATACACACAGTGATAATACAAATAAGTATAAACTGGCCCGCAATTCTCGGTTGATGAAATATAACACAAATTAACTGTCAAGAAATATGTTATAATAATAGTTCATTTGTATATTATAGTAATAATATTATTTGCAAAATTGATTCCTTTGAGATTTTAATATTCAATTCACATCTGATTTCATTATTATTTAGATATCTTTAACTGTACAGACTACTCGTTATTAAGATTAATCTTTATACAGGTGGTCAATTATCACTATTTATCTCAAGTTTTGATGTTAAAGGCTAAGGGTATTCAAATTCACATTTCTCTTCGTTACGCTGCTCTCGATGGATTCTTGACTTCCTTGCAACAAAGAAGACGAGTTGTTAAAACTTTGTTATAAATTTCAAAGTTGGGGGAGAGCGGAAAAGCGATAGGATAATAGCGGCGAACGAAAAGAACAAACGCAACTATCTCCCAGAAAGGGAGATCTCTCTTCAGAAAGAAAGTCTATTTGCTAATTATTATGAGAAAATAAAAATTACTCTGCGGACTTATTGCTTATGTATTACATAAACTGCTATACATACAGAATACATTTTAATCTCGAAAAATAAATTGTCATAAATTTGTCATAAATATGATTGCCGCATATCTTGCTGCTTTATGAAAATATTATTACTCAGCAATCTCGCAGTGCATTTATCACTGCTAATTTAGATATTTCTTTCATTCAATCTACTTAACAAAAGCTTATTTTAAATAACTTTCCTCCGTAATGTAAAAATTATTAAATAGCAAATATTTTCTAGAACCGATATAAAGTGGACTGACTTTATTTACTAGATAAAAATATACTTATTTTTTAAATATTTATTTTACTTCATAAAAATATACTACATCGTATGACTTCTGTCGTTTACAGAAACGAGCGTTTTTATGAAAGTATAAAAATCCATCGTCCCAATTGACGTCGGGCAAAGTAATTTTGTGTTGCATGGCGAATTTCCTTCTTTCAAAGAAAATTGCTGAAACGTTAAGTGTTTCGTTAAATTAGCTTTCCTTAAGAATAATTAGTCGTAAGAAGCGGCTACCAAGAAGTATAGAAACCAGCTCGGGTCTTGAAAGTTTAAATGTAGATATGTCGGGCAATACAACACGAAAGGGGAACGAGGGATGCGAGCATTACGTCCCTCAAAAGAAGTCTCCGGAAACTTAGAACTGGCATCACGTCGGTCCACATTTTTCAGGATGCCTTTCAAACGAAAATTAAGCAGGAAAAAGCTTTCTCAACTTCCCGAGTCTTATTCGTGATAAACGTAGAAATTCGCATCTTTTTGCCATCAGGGAACTTAACTGACACTCTTTGGACTGCATGAAAAACGTTTTGCGACGCGACGTCGTGGAATTGTTTACAAGGCAATTCGAGAGTTTTATTACAAGTATCTATAACAAGATTTACTTGTTTTAATATTCTAATAACATTTTCTAATATTATGCTAAATTCTAATGTAATAATACATAATATAATTGTGTATATATGCATATTATATTTTTTTAAATCAAGAATTTAATGAATTTAATGAATTATATAGATAGATTTGTTTATTAAAAGTAAATTATGTGAGATTTAATAACATAAATAAAATTTAATCTAATCTAATGTTAATTATTTAATAATTTCAAACATTTAGTTTTCTTAACGATAGTTTTACTGTTGTCTCATCATGTAAATAATATTTTTTTTTATATTGTTAGTATTCTAGCTGTTATTATATAGGATAATATAAATATTTTACGTGACGCCGTCTGTTTCTTTCTCATTTCTGAGAACTTGGTAACATGTGTACAATATTAAATGCGGTCAGCTTTTTCTATTTGAGTAAACTCATTTCGCATTTAAGATTCTTAAATAAAATAAGTTATTTGTCTACTTAACCTACTTGCTTGCTGAATATAATAGTGAGAGCATTTTAAATTGTAAAAAATACAGATAAAAATGCCAATATTTGAAAAAAATATTAATGTGACTATAATGTCTGTTGCGATTTTTTAGTCATATTATAAACATTAGTCATATTACTATCACGATTCCATGAAAAAAGATAAAAATAAAATATACAATTGTAGAAAATTTTTTTAGTAACATAAAATATATCCCATAAATGTATTTATATTGTAATTGTAATTTTATAATTATAATTACATGCAGTAAAATATAATATTTTAAATAAATCCTTGTGCAGTTTATAAAAAATGATAGTTATATCAAATGTTGAAACAATTTGTTGTAATTCAACAAAATAAAAATGTAATTTAAACTTTGGAAGACATACAAAAAATTTAAATGTAATGCATCAGAATGTGTGTGAAACTTTAATTATCAAATTATGTTTTTCACGTTTTCATAAGAGTTCGATATACAATATATACGAATACGGGCAGTAATATTTATAAACGAATGATTAATGTTGTAATAAATGAAATGGATGTGACGAAAGATTTACGGATTGCGTTGACGTGTAAACATGCTTTCGCGCGGGCGTGAAAACGTGCATCGCTCGTAGTAGGTCTAAAGTGCCACATTTCCTAAAATATTACGTATAGTGCGGCATATGTTTCTGATGCTTTTGAGATGGGAAGTAACCCCGCAGAGTTTTGTTCCCATTCGCGGCTTGTAGACCGTACCCATTTCCGTGTAGCCCGGAGGTAATAAGAGCTTCATTCTGCACCAAGGAGTCGCAGAACGTGCTCTCTCTCTCTCTCTCTCTCTCTCTCTCTCTCTCTCTCTCTCTCTCTCTCTCTCTCTCTCTCT